CTCTCTCTCTGTCAAATAAATAAATAAAATCTTAAAAAAAAATAAAAATAATAAAATCATTTCTGGAGAGAAAAAGGAAATACTAGTGCTAGGCTCTTACCTATGTTCATTTACTAGCCAAGTAATTTCTGGCCAGTTTCAAGTTTGTACTTTAGCCAGAGTACAGATTATCATTTGATAGGGAGTTTTGAGTCCCTTTGAAATAGTTTAAGCAATAGTGTTAAGACCTCAAATGGTAAAGGTCTACTATAGAGGAGTGTTTTCTTTGCAAGCATCAGTTGAATCTCATTTTTTTGACAAAGTGGATGAAGAGGATGTGTTGTATGCATACTAGGTTTACTTACAGAAATGGATGTGTGTATATGTAAATATATATATATATATTTTTTTTCTCTCTCTCTCTTTCTCTTTTCAGCACTTTGTTTTCTACAGTGGACGCTGATGAAATACCAGCTAAAAGACCAAGATTAGGTATTGAATATGATAATTTTTTAAATTACATTTTTTTAAATAGGAAAAGTATATGTATGGAACAAAATTCAAAAGGTAAAAAGTATGTGCAGTGAAAAGTAAGTCTCTTTCCTGTCCCTTTTCTACTCAGTTATCTTTTCTGAGGTAACCACTGTTAACCGGGACTTGAATATCTTTCCAGATAAATAAGGCTGTATGTTGAATATGTATTTTAAAATTTTCAATCTTCTATAAAGAAAAGGTGTTTTTTATTTTTGAGGAGAAAACATGGTAAAAAACTACTTCAAACTAAGTCATCTAGTTCACATAGCTGAGTGAATGAATCTAATGTGTTGCCCCAAATTGTTTATTTCTCTGTATCCAGAGGGCTAGACATAGCTTGATAGAAGAGAACAAAACTAGATTAAAGGAAAAAGGCACAGTGGAGTGCTATAATAGTATTTCCTTTCTCTCAAAAATGAATGTGCATTTCGATCTACCTCCAGATGTGGTAGTTAAGAGTAGACATGCCTGTTAAGATTTCATTTAAATTCGAAGAGTATTTATTGAGCATGTCTTACTGCTAAGCAATGTGTTAGGTTCTAAAGGAACAAGAAAAAATGAGTAAGACAGGGTCTCTGTTTTTAGGGACCTTAATTGTGTAGGTATATGATTGTATCATTGAGGGTATAAGACAAGCATATAAATAATTACTAATGTCAGTAGGGATGTGATAAATGAAATAAGAAAGATAGTTACAAAATACTGTCCAATTTTCAGCTGATTAAAAGTCTCAGTAAATATTTGATGAAAGAGTGAGTATGTGAGATGGATCTTAAAGGATGGGTGGGATATCAACAGAGCAATAGGAAGGGAAAGCATTCTAGGCAGAGGGAACAGTTATGGGAGAGTTGTGCAATTCAGGAAACTGAATAGAACTCAGGGGAAAAGTTGGCTAGAGAGAGGTGTATCAAATTAAGAGGACTTTGAATGCCAGATTTATACTAAATTCATTAGGACAGTATTTCCCAAAGCACAGGATAGATATCAGTTCAGGAAATGATTTTAGGGGATACAACATTTCATAGCATTAAGTAGTATGTGAATTATGTAGAAAAAAGTTATATCCTTTTCATTTGTTTTTAATTTTCTGATTATTTCAAGCAGAAAATCTTGATTTAATGCTAGTATGTTTTTAATACTTATCTACTACATGTGACTCCGCTTTTTTTTTTTAAGATTTTATTTATTTATTTGACAGAGAGAGAGAGATCACAAATAGGCAAATAGGCAGGCAGAGGGAGAGGGAGAAGCAGGCTCCCTGCTGAGCACAGAGCCCGATGTGGGGCTGGATCCCAGTATGCTGGGATCATGCCCTGAGCTGAAGGCAGACGCTTAACCGACTGAGTCACCCAGGCGCCCCGACTCTCCCTT